TGAACGCCAACTTCTGGCGTTATCACAGAACGCCAATTCTTTGGCGTTAAAAGACGCCAACCAGTTTAGAGTGCCCTGTTTGTGGCTACACGTCGGAACCGATGTGGCACAAATAAGCTGATGCCCCAGAGAAAAACACTTGACAAAAGAAAATGCATTTGCTATTGACCTCAGGAGAAAATATTATTCACCTCAGAAAATGTTTAGCTGCCCCAGAAATTGCAGTTATGCTGAACCACAATTCTTGCGTGCCCGCATGTACCGCAGCGTGTAATCAGGCACCTGGTATACAGTTATCAGCTAAACAATGGCTCAGAGAGTAAATATTTACCAGACGCTGCGCGTGATATAGTGTATAAGCTATTTTAACGAACCTTTCGCGCTCGCCATGGCTTAAGCTACGAATACAGACAGAAGCGATAGTAAACGGGGTTAATTGGTGATTCAGAGGTGGCTCTCTACTTCACCTTCCGAGCCGTGCCATTTGAGTCCTCAACAGTATAGCCACAGACAGGGAAGTCCAACCATGGAATGAAAGCGTGCTTTGTTTGCCAAAAATCACAGTGGAGTCCAAACGAACCCTAACAACCCGGGTAGAACACGTTTGTCAAAATGATGTCAGAATAATTTCATTCTGACGCTCACCGTCAAAATTTACTGCGGCTAGGTAGCCAGATTGAGCTTATTTTTCACGTCAAATGAGGGTCATTGACCAGTTTTTGACGATTAATTTTGTTCGACCTGGAAAACTTGTGGGAGTAATTAACCGACTGGAGAGATCGACTGGACTCCACGTGGTTGAAGACAAAATTCCGTATTCCTAGTGCTCAAATGGATGAAATAATGTGAACAGTTTGTGTGTCATAGTGGTGAAAGTCTTCGTCCGGGACACGGCAGTAGTCCAGCTTACATCTAGCAGAGGGGCACATGCAGTAAGAGATGAACGTGGCCACTTACTTCGTTTTCCCGAGAGGACGCTGAAGGAAAAGAAGGAGAGAAAGAAGCCATGTTAGGAGAGTGCTCATACGTACATATAAGAGTGTGCACTCAACACCAAATGAAATATAACAGAGTGCTAATTTTTACACAACACTTAAATACAATGAATTTTACACGTCAGTGACAACAAACTACAAGGGGCGTTTAGTTAAAAGAGAACCATCAGGCATCTGTACACTATACAGCTATTATTATACCTCCACTAATTCCAAATTGCAGAAGTAATATATGAAGAAGAAAACTAAAACTGTCAGGCAAAGGAAATTCCGCTTAAAATTCGTATACAAGTACATACACACACTCGACCGCCACCAAATCTAACAACCAGCAGATAGCAGATCTTAAAGATGCAAAGAGGTGCTCAACGCTAAACACACTTGTGCAGTATAAAGTTTGTAACCATACCTGCATAGGTGGATTTGTGTATCCACTTTATTTGTGAGCGCAACTCAAATGCATCCTTGTCAAAGATGTGGTTCAAGGTTAATGCAAACAGCAATGAAGATGATGCGAGATGATGTCTATGAGATGATTTCAGTGTGTTAGTAGCACCAACAACAAAAGAAGGGTTAGTTACTGGAAAGATCAGTTTTATTTAATAATCAGCAGCCACTGAAAGAAAATCCAGTATGAGATCGAAGACTCTACTGGTCCACTTAGCTTATTAACAAATTAGTATAAAAAGATAAGGCACTAAAAATGTCTACATAGTTATACAAAATTTGGTTAGTAGTTTTAAACAGATTTGCCCTCCAAACACCGAAGGATAGAAACCAGTTGTGGATGTCCAGGCTAAGACATGACAGTACGTTGGGTTGCCTATGCACTGTAATGACTTACGTTAGCCTGGACACATTATAAAACACAAAAACTAATAATTATTTCAACTGACTAAATTTAACAATTCAGAATACGTTTTTGCAGAGACGGCCATCGATATATAGAGCAATGAGACTAATAATCATTACGATTTTGTCCAACAGTGTGACTGTTAAACTTTCCGAAATATTATTGAGCAATAACTTTGGCACAAACTAAAGTAATGCTGCCATGTAAATGGCAAAGATAACAATAATGTAACATTAGAGACTCCATTGACTTAATATGGCAACAACTACTGGGAAGTTTTCGTTTAAAAAGAATTCATTTACAGCCAACTCTTATTGAGACTTTTCGTTAGCAAACACCGAAGGGTGAATAGACAAAGAAGGTAACACACGCGTACAACGCCAACGCCCTCACAAGTAAAGAATTTGTTTTTCAAAATAAGCCACTACCATGCATTCCTCCAAATGTCGAACGCCCTTCAGCTCATCGAGGGGCTGCGGGGTGCGTGCAGGTCATTCCCCAAGAGGATGAAAGAAGGATGCGAGAAGAGAACGCAAGAGAGACAAGTGTGTTAGTCACAGACACCAGAGGTTTCACGTTAGTTCTCGTGCTCCTCGTCCGGCTTGCGGGGCCGCGACTTCCACTTGCCCGGGGTGGGCTCCTTGCTCATCTTGCCCGGCCAGCGCAGCACGATGGCGGCGGTGGCCTTGGCCTGCTTGGCCTTGACCTGCTTGCCCTCGGCCTCGGGTAGCGACTTACTCTGCGGCAGGGGCTGCTGCTGCGAGACGGACACCGTGGATGGCGCCACGAAGGGCGACGGCGTCGAGGCCGCCGGGTGCGAGCCCGCGGCCTGCGTGGCCAGGGTGTGGATGGCCACGACGGCGGGGTGGGTGAGGTCCGACAGGTCGTCCTGCTGCTGCTGCTCCTGCTGCACCCGCTCGTCTTGCAGATTCTGCTCCTGCAGCGCTCTGGCCAGCAGCTCGTTGAGTTCCCTGCCTTGCAGGGGGGTGCCCGGCGCCGAGGCGGCCGACGCTGTGACCGTGGCCGCCTGCTCGATGGAGCTCGGCGTCGCCGTCGGCAAAGTCACGTCCTCGAGGGCCTGAGGCCTCCGCTGGCGCTTCGGGAACGTGTAGCGACCCCGCTCCGTCGATTGTTCTGCGCATAGGCGGGTGGGCGGTCGTGAGCGGTGCTCACAGCCACAGCACAGGGCGGGGGTAAGGAGCGCCCGGAGGCCTGGAAGCCATCATCACTCACCAGCTGTTGCCGCGGCGGTCACGTCCTCCGGCGCGAACGTCGTCGTCCTGGCCTCGGTCCTGAACTTGTTCCTCCTGCGCTGCGCGGCGGCGGACGCAGCTAAGCTACTCTGCCCGCGGTTCACGATCGACTCTGCAAAATGACATAAAGCCGTCACACGGTCGCTCTGACGAGGGTCCTCGAACGCATGACACGCGTGACTGCCCTGCTCCCGTACCTCTGGACGGTGCCGAGGTCTGCGCCGCTGCGTCCGAGTCCACGGGGCTCACAGTGGTAGTGCGCCTGCGGATGACCCTGGACGGGGTCCGCCTCGCAGCCGGCGTCGTGATGGTCGGCGCGGGGGTCGTGGTCGTGGTCGGACGCCTGCCGCGGCTGCCGTGGTTCAAGAAGCCGCCTGGCCGGCGCAGGGACACCCTCTCGGCGGAGACCTGTAGAGGCAGAGTGGCGTCAGGGCCCGCGACATGGCGCTTGCAGCCGAGTGAGGCTGTCACTGTCCCTCCCCGCACCAGCGTCGGGAGCGAAGAGGGAAGTTCTCACACCAGCCACCCCGGCAAGCAACAGTAACCAGAGGAAAGGTACTGCCTACAGAAAAAATACTTCAAGTTTAGTTTCGTATGTTTCAAAAAACATTGAAAACTGAATTGATATGATCGAATGGAAACAATGAAATAATGCGATAGCAGAGCAGCAAGGTTTTCTGACCAAGGCCGGAAGAGAAAATACACTACCAAGATAAGAAAAAGTAAAGAAAATAGCTCAATCAAGAAGAATCAATACCAATAACTTTCAAAACGTTTCAAAAATGCAGGGTTAGCATCGGCACTAAATATTTAAGTGCATATTTCAAACCAAACTTATAAGTACCCTATAGTTTATTGTTAATGAAATCCATTCAAAATCACCAATCACCAGTTACTTCAAATCATCCAGAAGGTTCACAATGCAATATGGGATGAATTTTTTGAATTGAGGATGTGATTTGTATTTTTCCAATCTGCATCAGAAAGATATTTTTGTGTTAGAAAATTAATTTACTTGTGTTGGGCAATGCACCCACAAGACAAAGAGAGAGACGCTTTAATGGAAAAGAAAAACATGATTTATGATCGGGTGTCTGCTTGTGGCCATAACGATTTATGTACAATTTTTCCATACTCACGTCTGTTAACGACATTATACACTTACCGCAACGTTTTCAAATGCTAGACACGAAAAATTATACTTTAAAGAAACACAAACAGATCAAACAGTGGCCAATCAACGCCAAACAAAACACTGGTTTCCTAGCGTGTGTGTTGTGTAATGTACGGTATAATGTGTTCTGTTGAGTGTGCGGGGATGGTGGGACGGGATGGGAGAGGATGGCAGTCATTCCCTGGCGGGTTAATACTCTTAAGATGCACTACGTTAGACATGACGCTCCAGTCGCGCTCCGACGCTCGTCAGCCTCCTAAAGAAGGGCCGGGGCGCGGACGGAGCAGCATGCCGTACAATGAATGGTACTGACAAACATCATTCGCTCATTCACACATGCGCTTACAGATGTATCATGACATTATGGGCTACTTTCACAGTCGATGCACAGGATCAACATGCATCACAAGCTTGCATGGCATGACATAAAGCGGCTCTATCCAGGTTATCAACGCTCTACACTTGAAAAAAATAAATATAGCCGCATTCGGAGAAACTTATATATAATAAAAATATGACAGTCACCAGAGACAAACAGACCCGTATGCTAGCTAGCTGTAAGTAAGTCAGTCCGCGGAGGCTAAATGGCCGCATACTTCTCGCATGCCAAGACAAGACGGAGATGAGAGCGCTAGAGCTTATGTAGAGAGACAAGTCAGTCAGGTAGTAGTTGCAGTTCAGGTCTTCGGGGCATCTTGCATTGCCCTGATTATCAGACCGGGTTAAACAAACTGATTGGATGCGCCAGGACCGGACCTCCAAGCGGGATGCTGATGCTGAAGATGGCGAAGAAGGCCCAGTTTACCTCGTTCTGTTCCTCCGCGTCCACGTAGGACTCGCTGTGGGTGTCCTCGATGGACGTCTGGTCAGCGACCCTGGCGTTCTCGTAACCCGTTGTGGGAAGCGTCAGCAGGTCGTACGCGTAGTCAAGGGGGGCGTCGTCGGCCACCTCCTCGTCGTCGGGCTGCAAGAGCTGCAGTAGGGCGTCCTTGGCCTTGATGGAACCTCTGGAGACCGCCTTGCCCGGGCTGGGCTTGCCCTTGCCCTCCTTGACGAGCCGCCCCTTGGCGGGGAAGTGGTCCGAGTCCTCGAGCGTGAGCAGCAGCTCGCTGCCCACGGCCCTGTCGCCGTCCTCTTCCACGAACCTCCTGAGCTCGTTGGGCTTGGGGCCGCTACTCTGGGCGCCAGCCCGGCTGCTGCCCCGGCTGCGCGCCGCGGCCAGCCTCTGGCGCGCACCCTTGTACCGTGAGGTGGGGAAGTCATCGCCTGTCGCGCCCTCCAGCTCCTCCGTGGACACCGAGAACTTGTTGCCTCGCGAGCGGATGGGTGCTGTCCGTGGCCGCGGCGAAGTCACGTCATTTTCGCTCTTGTTTTCGTCGTCCGTATCCAAGAGGTCGGCTACGTTGAACTTCTTGCCGCGAGATCTAAGGGATGCGGCCCGTCGTCCCGGCTGGGCCGTGGTCGAGACCTCGGGCTCGGCTGACGACTCAGTAGCGGGAGAGGTAGACGGAGCAGACCTGAAGCGTTGTCTACTCGATCTGGTGATGGTTGGGGTGGCTGCTGTAGTTCTGGACCGCGGCCTGAGTGTAGGCACATACGCCTCCTCCTCCTCGTGGACAGGGGCGGGCTCCAGGGTCCGCGCGCGTGCCCTGGTGTACGTCGCCCGGGTGGCGGGGGGTGCGCTCGCCTCCTCGTCCTCGTCGCTGTGCGTCGTGGGTCGGCCAACGCGCGGCCTGAAAGGAGCCCTGGTGGACTGGGTGGTGGGCTCCTCCTCGAGCAGGATGGTCTCGTGCGAGGCGGACGTTGGCCGGCCGCGCGGTCGGAACGGCGCCCGGGTCACGGGCGCCGCCTCCTCCTCCACGGGGGCGGCCGAGGAGGTGCGCGGCCTCGACCTGAAGGGTACGCGTGTCACAAGGGAGTCCTCGTCCTCGGTGGTGCGCGGCGCGGACGGCCTGAAGGCCGCTCTGGTGGTGGGACCGGCGTCCTCCGTGGTTCGCGGCGCGACGGTGAAGCGGTTCCCTCGCGAGCGTAACGCCAGCGAGCGTAAGGTGGTCGGGCGGACGCTGTCGTCGGCATGCTCGCGGGCGAGGGACTGTCCCCGCGACCGGTAGGAGGACGAGTCGCCCTCTAGGCTCACGTCCGAGTAGTCCGTCTCGTCGACGCCCGCAGTGGTGGATGAGGACCTAGGCGCGTACGTCCTGCTGCGGGAGCGCAACGTTGTGGGGGGCTCCAGGCGCTCCGACGAGTCGGGCAGCGAGAACTTCTGGCCACGGACCACGGGCTGGTACTGGCGCAGCTCGACTTGGTACTGGCGCTGGAGGACCCGCTCGGTGGTGGGCGTGTCGTCGTCGTTCTCTTCGGGGCGCGGGGAGTGGGTGGTCGACCTGCTCCGGAAGGGGGGCCGGTACGTCCTGGGAGAGACTAGCCTCTCCAGGTTGGGGGACACTGGTGTTGGGGCCGTGGAAGCGGTGGAAGTTGACGAGCTCTCGGAAGAGCTCGGCTGGTCCCCGCCGTCGACGTCGTCCTCCTCGGCAGACGTGAGCGGCAGCGACGGCTCGGTGGCAGCAGCAGTGCTTGGCGACGCCACCTCGCTCGTCGTCTCGGACACGAGCGCGGCAACCGTCGTGTCGACTGGTGGCGACTCTTCATCGGCGGGGGACGGTGCGGGGGCCTCAGCCACCGTGGTGGAGGTGATTGTCGTCAAGGGGGTCTCAGTGGTCGTCGTCGTGCTCGTTCTGGGGTTCTTTCGTAAGATTTGAGGTCTTAGTCGCGTCGGTCGCGGTCGGTTGAGGGTGCGGGGCGAGGACGGTGTCGCGTCCTGCTCATCGGGCAGCTCGGGTCGTTTCGTAGTGGTGCGCCGTCGGTTGGCGCGCGGCGTAAAGCGGCCGGTGGGCCCTGAGGGGGCGTCCGTGGCGACCTGCTCGGCCGACGAGTCCTCGTCGGTGCTCGTCGCGTTGCGCTCGGCGCTCGACGCGCGCAGCCTGCTCAGACTGGCCTTAAGCCTCTGGGTACGGACGCTTAACGGCGTCGTGTTCGGCGTCGTTTTGATCGTGAACCTGTTCCGCCCGCGGCCCCGTGGCAGCCCCCGCGAGGTGGCATGCGGGGTCTCGAGGGTGTTCGCGGTCGCGCTGCTCTCGGTGGAGGTCGGCGCCTCGCTGGAGGTCGCCGACGGAGAAGTGGGGGGCATGGGGGACGTCGGGTGAGTGTAGCCAGGGTGGTTGTGGTTCTTCACAATGATCCTATGCCTCTGCGTGACCGACGACTCCGTCACCGAGGTCACGACGTGAGTCTCAGTGAAAGGTTCTAGACTGCTCGTGGATGGTGGGGGTGGGGTTGTCGAGGACGGGGTTGTCGAGGACGGGGTTGTCGAGGACGGGGCGGTCGTCTCGGGGGTAACAACGAACGGGGAAGGGGTGGTCAGTGTCACTATCTCGGGGTTAAGGGCTGTGATTGTTGTGTCAAGAGTTGTGTCGGCAGTGACCGCCTGGGTCGTTATGTCCGCGTCCGTTTGTCCGTCGGGCGCCCCTTCACTCACCTTTGGGCTCGCGGTGGTGGTGGTGGTCGTGGTGGTCGTAGGGGTGGTCGCGGATGTCGCGGCCGTCTCCTCCTCGCCGTCCTGGTCCGGGCGCGTCGTGCGCAGCGGGGTGGGCCGGTACACAGGGCCCTCCCGATACGAAGACACGGACGGCGACGGCGTCACCGCGGCGACGGTAGCGTCCTCCTTGTCCTCCTCCGAGGACTCTACCTCCTCGTCGTCCTGATCCTCCTCGATAGCCGCCGTCTCCGTGGTGGTCGAGGGTCGCCCCCTCTGCAGCGTCACATATCTGCGGCACCAAGAACACGGTCGCGGAATACGACACTAGTAACACCCCACCCCACACAATCCCCTCTCACTCTGCTGTTACCGTGAGGTGGTGACGGGCTCTTCGCTGGGTCGCTGCCTGCGCAGCGTGACGTACCCCGGGGTGGCCGGCTTGCTGCTCTTCTTCTCTTCCTCTTCCTCCTCCTCTTCCTCCTCGTCATCGGACTCCTGTTGCTCCTGTCTCTTAGACGGCTTTTCGTAGCGGCTGCGAGTCCTCTGCACCTCAACCGCGGTCTCCTCCGGCTCGTTCTGCACGGCCTCTTCCAGCTCCGCGGCCACGGCGGGTCTGCTCGACGGGATTAAGTAAGCAGCTATCCTGAAACTATTACCCCTGCTGCCACCAATCTGTCACTCACCTCTCTCGCCGTATGCTGACGTACTTCGGCCGCTCCCTCTCTCGCTGACTCGTCTCTTTGGTGGCGTCCTGGAGGCCGTCGTTCTGCGGGCGCGAGGGGCCGTTTCTGAAGAGGGACTTGTACCTGGGCGTGGTGGGCGAGCCGGCGCCGGAGTTCGTGCTGACGGTGGCGGCGTGTCGGCTCCTGCCCTGCAGCACGCGCTCCACCAGGCTGCGGTTCCTCAGGGGGATGGTGCCGCCGCTCGTGGAGGTCGGGGAGGCCGCCTCGGAGGCGCTGTTCCCGGCACTACTGCTGGAGCGGAGCTGCTTCTCCAGCTCCTCCACGCCTCCTATGTAGTGAGATGAAGGTCTGGGAGTTAGAGGCGAGTCGGGACACGGCACGTCCTCGGTCACTGCCACAACACCCCGTGCTTACCAAGCTTTTTGATGAGGTTGAGGAGCTCCTTGAGTGCCTCGGGGTCCTCCTGCCCACCTTCGTCGTCCTCATCAACCTCATCTTCCTCCTCCTCTTCGATGGGGGCCTCCGTTGTGGTGGTAGTCGTGGTGGTGGTGGTCGTTGTCGTACGTCCCGACACGAAGGGCGAGCTGGTCGTCGTAGAGGTGGTCGCCGCTGTGGTCGCGGGTGCGGCGGCGTTCTTTTTGCAGATGACGTTGCGCGCGTAGTCGCACGAGTCGGCGCCCTTGTTGAAGAAGAGACCTGAAGGGGCAGACGGTCAGTAATCTGTCCGGAGCCGGCTCAGCCCGGCGCAGCGCGGTGCAGCCCGGTGCAGCCCGGTGCAGCCCGGGGCGTAGGCAGCCCATGTGGCGTGGCTTACCAGACGGGCAGGTGAACTGGTGCGCAACGATGCCGAGGTTGGACGGCCCGCTGTCCAGACACCAGAAGTACTTCTTGCAGTCACGCGGGTGCGGGAAGAACCCTTCGTCCTTGCAGACGAAGTCTGAAACCCACGAAAACGTTCATCAGAAAACAATCGACTAGTAAGTTACGAGGGTAACACCAATAAATCGTGTTGCTGTAGCACGGTCCGCATATCATGCTGCCTTACCGCTGCCCGGGTCGGGGGTGGATGGAGGCTCTGGGGTGGTGAGCGGGTTGCCGCTGGAGGTGCTGGTGGACGGCGTTGTTGCCGCGGTGGTCCTCCTGGTGCTGGGTGGAGCCTTGGTCTTGAGCTTGTTTGTCCTAGGCCTGTCACTCCTCGCCGTGCTGGTCTCTGCGACGCGACCGCCTGCCTTGCTGCCCTTACCCTTGGCGACGACGGCGTTCTTCTCACTGCTGCTGAAGCGAAAGAGAAAGAATGAGCCACCCGTCGAGGACACTCCCGTCAGACCAGGACCAGCCGCACTCACCCCGTCTTGCCACTCGTGCCGAGGAGAGCCTCCTTGGCGGCCTCGATCAGCGGGTACGGTCGGTTGTGGCACTTGCCCCTGAAGTCGTCGTTGTCGATGGACCAGAACATGATGCCACCCAGGCCCTTCTCGTTCACGTACTCGGCCTAAACGGACAAAAACGTCACAAGTCGTTCAATCTTTTTTAATATCACACACTGAGCCACGTAATTATGCTTTAGGGATCGTTCAGAAAGTACGTTCGATTTTTCTCAGATTTATTTTGAAATATTACGGAAGCTGGGCGGTTTTATGGTCGGCCCAAATCGCCCCCAGGGTAAGTAGGCAATTTTCCCCGCAGAACCTCTGAAAGTCGGCAACCACTGTAAATCGCCCCCCTCCGTCACACCGATGTAGTTAAAACCGCGCCTGCTGGGCGCCTGCGAGACTCGGGGTAGGCCGCCCCGCAGTACACGCATGCACTGCAGGCGAGATGTTGCCTACCTATTAGGCGCTATGAGAGCTTGCAGAGGCTGAACTTGACAGTTTCGTAACGGCTAATGACGGACGTACTTTCTGGATGGTCCTTTATGCGTGAAGGCAAAGTGAGGCAAGAGGCAGACAGACGCTAAGCATGAGCCTGGCAGAGCCCCGGGTGCGTGCGGAAGCCAGCGTCCACCGGCGCTACCGACCGCTCCGCTGACATTTACTCTTGCTATCATCTCATTTTTATATTCATCTCCTTACCTTGAGGCGTACGATCTCCGTGTCGTCGTAGCCGACCCACTGGTTTCCCTTGACGGCATACGGACCCATGGCTTTTGGGTGCGGCTTCTCCACCTCCCAGCCTTCCGATTCACAAATCTGGAATCCATTAAAAACAACGTTAAATAAACACGCTCTGGAATGTTTTACTTTTCCTTGATCTCATGGAGGAAAATCCTTTTAAAGAAGTGAAACAAAAATGAAAGTGAATTATTGTATAAAATGTTTTTGGTCGTATACATCATGTGATTATTACCTCATAGTAGGCCAGGTAGCCCTTCTCGCGCGTCGCGTCCCCCTGCTCGCCGGGACCGTCGGAAGGCGCGCCGATCTCCGTGGAGTCGGGGTTGAAGAGGGTGTAGGAGCGGCCGTAGGTCGGGATACCGAGCACCAGCTTGTCGCGGGAGGCGCCCATCTTCAGGTAGTGCTTAATCGTGTAGTCCTGTCAAACGGCAACAAAAGACAAGTGGAAATTTTACACTGCACTTAATATTCTGGTAACGTACATATTTGACGCCCCCCGTGCCCCGTGATCATGTAATTGGATTTGCATCAGAGCTGGCTGCTGGCATCTTACTGGGGCGCGGCCGGCGGGGCGGTGTCAGCCGTGTGCTGGCGAGGCCCCAACCCGAAAAATGTGTCGGCAATTTAACTGGTCGGTCGGCCGCGCGTTGCCGCTCGCGACGACGCCAAAGGGGCGGCGCACAGGACTTGTTCATCAGTCGCCAGTGACCACGTGACCGACCTAAATGCCCGTCTCCCTCCCTTCCTCCCTCTCCCCCTCCCTCCCGCTGTCCCTCTCTC